CGTTAAATCTCTGTTAATCCTCGCTTTGGCACTTTGTTGGGTATAAATTGCTTGAATCATCCTGATAAAATCATCTCCAGTATCAATCTCATGTAGTAGCTCCATAATGAAATTCCAACTTACATTGTCAAAGGCTTTCTCTGCATCTAAAAAAATTAATGCCATTTGTTTTTCTGGGTGTGCTTCATAGTATTCCAAAATATTCATAATTATTCTTACATCGTTTCTCAATAGTCTCTTTGGCAAAAACCCTGCTTGGTCTTGATGTATTTACCTCTAATGATACCTTCTACAAATGTGATCCTAAAATAGCAGCAAAGATTTTATAATCCACATTTAAAAGCAAAATTGGTCTATAATTTTTCACTTCTTTAGGGTCTGTATTTTCTTTGTGTATCAAAGAGATCTGGGCGTCAATTTTTGTTCTCAACTCAGTAGTTGTTGGGCATTTTTTCAGCTTTTCTTCCTGCTTTATTAGTTGATCTTTCAATTCTTGAAATTTCTTCAACCTATCCTTCTTTTGCCTTGCTGAAAATTTGATTGCCATTCCTCTGAAGAAGGCCTTACTTGCATCCCAAACTGTATTTATAGAGATATCTGGTTGAATATTTTGCTTAAAAAATAATTCTGAACTCCTTTTTTGTCTCCCTCATGAAATTCTCATTTTTCAAGTGTTGTGTATTCAGCTTCCAACTAACTTTCTTAGAAATGCCAGTTGTTTTTAAGAATACAGGGTTATGGTCAGCAAAGGTTTTTGGTAAAATATCTGCTTCTTCTATATTTTTTATCAAACTCACTGAGATCCAACACATATCAATTCTGGACCACGATTTGTGCCTTTGAGAATAAAAGGTATAATCCTTTGTTATGGGATTTCTCGTTCTCCATGCATGAACCAGAGTATATTCTGCCAATCGTAGAAATGTCTTTGGCAAGAGTGTTCCAGATTTCTTTGTTTGTTTAGCTGTTTTTCTATCCTGTATTTTATCAAAGATTGCATTATTGTCTCCAATCAAGCAGTGCTCTTCATATTCATAATTTGCTAATTTTTGTTCCAAATCCTTATAAAAAGTTTCTTAGTGGTCATTTGGTACATAGATGTTGGTCACCAGAATTTTTTCCCCTTCTCTTTGAATTTCAACCATCAAAATTCTACCATCTTCAGAGGCATAAATAAGTTTAGGGTTAAGTTTCTCCTTAATATATGTTCCTAGCAGTGTTCCCTCTAAGCTGAGTTAGTGTGAGTTAGCTCACAGTTTTTTAGCCTCCGGCTCACACACATTTTTGTCTCAGCTCAGGAAGGAGGGCTCCAGTGCAGACTAATTGATGCAGCAGCCAAATTGCTCACTCACAACTTTAATGCCAGTAGCTCACAAAGTAGAATTTTTGCTCACAAGACTCCACAGCTTAGAGGGAGCATTGGTTCCTAGACCTCTTTTTTTTTATTCTTTGCATCCGAAGCTGTAAAAGTTTTCCCCAATCTATTGCACTCTAATAAAAATTATATCCAAATTTAATTTTTCCAGCTGTAAAAATGTCCTTTTTCTCTTCTGTGGTGAGTTATGCCTATTCACATTGATTGTCATTTATGTCTTTAATCTGGGTTAAACTGTTCTGTAATTGGCCCAGTCCCTCTAAGAAAGTTGCTTGGAGACTGGCTTGGAGCGCTTTTAAAGGGTCTTGTGAAAGTATGGTCCCCACTGATTTGGTTTGTCCAGGGCATGGAGCCAGGGAAGAAGAAGATGTAATCTTTTTATCTTTCTTTCTTGCTAGGATTGCTCATTTTCCTGTATTCTGCTATGATTTTATTTTAAACAAAAAAGTTATTTTGCTATTTTCTTTTACTTATCAATATTTTAGAACTATACAAAACTTATACAACAATACTTCCCACTCCCAAATATGTTAGCAAATCAAAACTTTCTGTATCATATTCACCCAGCAGTTATACAATGCAACTCCCTGCTTTTTTTATCCCAGTCCAATATTTGGACTGTCAATGAAAGCTCAATCCTCACAGCTGCCGCTTAAGGAGAGCCTTCTCGTCACGCCCACTGCTTTGGTGACCCTTCTCCTAGAGTCTTCTTAGATCCTGGTTCCCCCCAGGATCTGCAAACCATGTGGTTTGACTCTCCTTCAGAGCAGAGCTCTGAGAAGAGACCGAAAGTGCTGTGCTGAAGCCCCGCCTCCCCACTTTATGTATATATGAAAAGCTGTATCAGAGTGCATCTAAAATGAAAACTCAGAAATATACAACACAACTCTGTAATAATAGCTAAGTATTCCAAGACCACTCCCTGTCTGTCACTCATTTTTGACAGCATTTAGAACACCTTTGTAACCTGGACATGCCACATTGTCTATATCTAATGATAAAATGCATCGTTCGACCTCAAGAAGTTGGTGTAAAGATGAATAAAATAAACATCCTTGAAATATTTTTTACTTTTATTGATAATATCTATTTATTTATTTATTCGATTTTTACCCACCCTCCCTGCCAAAGCAGGCACAGGGCGGCTTACAGAGGATAAAACAAAAATAATTATAACATAGGTAAAACTATATAAAACCACACAAACAATCTGATGTCATAAAGTGCTAGCTAGTTGTAATTAATACTTAGAGATGGCTGCAACAGTTATGTTAGCATGATCTCTGGTCTCTGATCTGCCTTGCTCATTAGTTTCTCATTCTTATCATATATATGCAGCAGGCACAGGCTGTAATGATGGAATCAAGGCACGGGCTCTATCTTTCTCAAGTATCATTAACAATCTTTAGTGATAATGGTGGTGGTGGTGGTGTTAATGGTGGCGGCTCCTTAACCAAAGGCCTGGTGGAAGAGCTCCATCTTGCAGGCCCTGCGGAACTGTAAAAGGTCGCACAGGGCCCTGATCTTTTCTAGGAGCTCGTTCCACCAGTGCGAAGCTGCCACCAAGAAGGCCCTAGCCCTGGTTGTTGCTAGTCTGATGTCTTTGGGGCCCAGGAGGATCAATCGATTTTGAGACCCTGAACGCAGTGCTCGCTGGGGTACATATGGGGAAAGGCAGTCCCTCAGGTATGTCGGCCCCTGACCATATAGCACTTTAAAGGTAAGAACCAACCCCTTGAAGTGAATTCGGAATGCTATCGGCAGCCAGTGTAGTGCCTTTAGCACAGGCTGGATGTGCTCCCACATAGGGAGACCCATCAAGAGCCTGGTCACTGCATTTCGCACAAGCTGCAGCTTCTGAATTTGTGACAAGGGCAGCCCCATGTAGAGAGTGTTATAGTAGTCCAGTCTTGAGGTGACCATTGCGTGGATCACTGTTGCCAAGTTGTTGCGGTCCAGGAAGGGAACCAGCTGCCTAATCAGGCAAAAATGGTGAAAGGTTGACTTGGCGGTGGCTGCTACCTGGGCCTCCATTGTTAGGGAGGTGTCCAAAGGGCACTCCCAAGCTCCTAACCTCCAGCACTGGCACCAATGGCGCCCCACCAAAGGTCAGGAGTGGGATCCCTACCCTCAGACCACCCCGACTCAGGCACAGGACCTCTGTGTTCGTTGGATTCGGTTTCAGTCAGCTCAGTCTAAGCCAACCAGCCACGGCTTGTAACACCCAGTCCAGATCTTCCCGTTTAGAGTCAGACTAGCTGCCCGACAACAGATAGAGCTGGGTGTCATCCACATATTGGTGACAATCCAGCCCATGCCTCCAGGCAATCTGGGCAAGGGGGCGCATATAAATGTTAAACAGCATTGGGGAAAGCACTGTCCCTTGAGGCACTCCATAGTTCAGTGGGTGTCTTCAGGATAGCACTTCCCCTAGTGCCACCCTTTGTCCCCAACCTCGGAGAAAGGAGGCAAGCCATTGTAAGGCAGACCCCTGAACTCCTGTGTCAGCGAGGCGGTGGATCAGTAACTGATGGTTGACCATGTCGAACGCTGCTGACAGATCCAACAATAGCACTGCCAAGCCGCCCTGATCCAGATGCCTCCAGAGGTCGTTCATGAGGGCGACCAGTGCTGTCTCTGTCCCATGGCCCAGGCAAAAACTGGACTGGAAGGGATCTATATTTATATCCCCCCCTTTCTTTTTGGAAATCAAGGCAATATGCAGAGGTAGTTTTCCACCTAGGCATGGATCCAGAGTTGTGTAGCTTCAGTGGGACATTTACATTCAGTGGGACTTTAGCAGGTCTTCTCAGCATCCGACCAAAATCTGTGGGGCTTGTTGGTGGTGGAAAGTGCCATCAAGTCACAGCTGACTTATGGTGACCCTGTAGGGTTTTCAAGGCAAGAGGCATTCAGAGCTGGTTTGCCATTGCCTTCCTCTGCATCGCAACTCTGGACCTACTTAGTGGCCTTTCCTCTTAGCTTCCAATATCTGACAAAATCGGGCTAGCCTGCACCATCCAGGTCAGGGCTAATGGGGCTTACTCCCAGGAAAGTGTCGTTAGGATTGTCCTGTTAACTACCCTGAAATACTTTGGATTTGGCTTGGTGTAGTGAGTACATCCCTAATGCAATTGTTTTACAGGGTTGTCATATTAAAATTTGAAAGAAATATCACCATTGAAAATGGCATCTGCTTTTTGTTAGGGTTCACAAATGGCAGAAACACAAAAGGGGGAATTCACTGTAATGACCTTTTCATACATCCTTATGTTCACTCAGCAAGTAAGAATTTTAATTACCTATAGAACACATTCTTCTCTCTTCCTGAAATTTGAGAGGAGGATTCATTGGGTGAGGGATGCAGTCCCTGACAACAGCAAGGGAAAGTTATGCCAGTTGGAACCACTAGAAACTACTATTGCATGGGTTTTATAATATAACTAGTTTTAATTTAACCCTCCAAAGAAATCACGAGATAACAATATATTAATGATTTAAATGGCTGGCCTGTAGGACCAATTATGACTGAATTTAAGGTTACAGCATCATGTCATTTTAGTAATCATATACTTCCTTTGTATATCAACTTAAATTGGCATCTCCCTTCATTTTGCTTTTTCAGGAATCTAAGCAAGGTATATCCCCATTACATCAAGGCACCTAGTGATTCTCTTGCAAAACCCTTGAAGCAACTTATGACAGGTATGGATTTTCAGTAGTAAGCTACTTACTCTTCCCAATGGCAAATACATTCTGATTTTGCACCTGGATCATCTAGTATGTTGGTGGTCCTTCTAAACGATAAAGAGGTTTGGGCCTGTTCTGTGATCCAGTACTGCAACTGTCTCTTGTTTATCCATTGTTATCAGCTATCTTAGTGAAAGGCTGATGTGGAGGGGAAGAATGACACCTTCCCACTGTGCACCACAATCTGGCACACAGGCTGGCATTATGGAAGAACAAAAGCCTGGACTGAGCCACATAAAGAATGAGATTCTCTCCTCTTTCCCCTTCATACAACTATTGGTCCCTCACACCCTAAGGTACAGCTGCTGCCATGGGGTGAGCAAGAGCATAGCAAGTGGAGAGGCTCCCTATCAAGTGGAAATGGGGGGATGGCTGTCAAACCACAGACTTCCTCTCCTCTTTATTTTGCTGCTGGTTAGCTCATTTTGCACACCCAAGGTAAAAAGATAACATTAAAATGTGAATCATAACAGCTTCAGGAAACAATTTAGTTTTTCTTCAAGTGAAATTTAAGGTCACACCAGATGAGACCCTGCAAGTTCTACAGTCACATTTCAAGTGTTTATTTATTTGTTTGATTGATTGATTTATATACCGCCCTCTCCACGAATGGGTTCAGGGCGGTTCACAACAATCTCAATACAATACCATTAAAACAACAATTAAAATAACAATTAAAATGGCAAAACCATAAAATACAGTGCAAACAAGCTAGTTCTGATGTCAATTCGGCAATACTGATCCAGGCCACTGTCTTGCAGGCCCTGCAGAACTGTAATAGATCCCGCAGGACCCTGATCTCATATGGGAGGTCAGTCCAGCAGTTGGGGGCCAGGGCTGTAGAAGCCACTGATTCAGCTGTAAGAGCCTCTGATTCATATGTGTCCGTGTGGTGGTGAGGATTTTAATCTTTCTCTGCATTCCATTTTCCCAGTCTCAAGTGGCCTTCTGGAGCTATTCACTCAATTGGGAGGAAACATTCAGGCAATCTTTATCTCCCCCCTGTAGTGCAAATAATGGCTTCAGGAAGCTGTTACAGGTTGGGAAAATGGCATGAAGACAGGGTTAATCCCCCCCCCTTTACTGTGTACTGCAGCCCCAGCCATGAAAACATACTGGAGATACAATCATAGATATTCCAACAACATATGATCAGCATTTCTACCACACCTTTGTTAAAATCTGGTAGACCACCCAGCAACCAGATGAAAATACTTTCAGTGTGACTTAGCCGATAGGCCTGAGTTATTCACACAGCTTTTATATGCATACTAGGAAAAAGGCCTGTTGTGGAAATAAATACAACGGCCTCTAGAAAGAGGCTCTGGGCGGGTGCCCCGGCCTTGGACACTCAGTGTCAATTTGCTGTGGTGACCTCAGCAGGGTATAATGACACTGAGTCCACCATTTTCTCTAGAGGGACTGATCTCTGCTACCTGAAGAACAGCTGTAATTTTGAGTGATCGCCAGCCCTCACCTGGAGATTGGCAACGATGGTTCCCCAGAAGGGAATAGTTGGTTTGGAGGGTGAAGTCTATGGCTTTGTACCTGTCCGAGGTCCCACGCCTCCTGAAACCCCACCCTCTCCAGGCTCCATCCCTCACATCTCCAGGAATTTCCCACCTGTAGTTGGCAACCCTATCTCCTTCCCAGCCAATCATCAACCTACCTTTATTTCCCCCTCACTCTTCAGCTTTCCACCCCACACACACCTGCAGCCTCTCCCGTGCTCTGAAGCCCTGACTGCTACGTCACATTGGCTGTGATATGGGGGCCACCTCAGCAGCATATAAGGATACAGAGCCCATTTTCTCCAGGGGAACTGATCTCTGCCATCTGGAAAGCAGTTGTAATTCTGAGTGATCTCCAGCGCTCACCTGGAGATTGGACACATTTTACCTCAGAACATCAAACTGTTAGAATGTTAGAGGCAAAAGCCAATCAAGTCGCATATGCAAACGACCTCTGTGTACCAAGGCAAAGGCCAATGAGGCTGCATATGCAAATAACCTCTGTGTTCTGACTGGCTATGGGGGGGAGAGGAAAAGCAAAATGTTTAGAATGTTGGAGGCAGGACTCAGGCAAAGCAGCCAGTGGATAGGGAGACTCTCTGAATGACAGATCAGAGAGCGAACTGATTTTGGAGCCTGTGAAATGTTCTAGAGAAGTGCCACCACCATTCAGCTTTTATTTATAAGGGAGATGGTTACTACAGTCTAAACCCACTGAAATTAATGGACTGGAGTAACTTTGCATAGGATTGGATTGTCAGTCACTTGAAATTATAAAAATTTAATGGGCAAGGCATAGTATTATGAGCTACTGACAACATGGTTTCTCATTTTGGTAGGTGGTGAATTCACAAACATTACCGTTTCATTGGTCAAGATTAAAGATGATAATAACAGTACTAATACTGATGATTTTCATGAGTGGTGGATGGTCAACCAGACAGACAAAAAAATTGTGAGAGGTGATAAGCAACACAGCTTGGAACTTATTGTATTCAGTGACAAAGTTAGCCCTCCTAGCCTTGGATTCTTGGCAGGCTATGGGTAAGCCATAAACTTTTACTAACATAAGAATATCATGTGTGACATTTAACTGAACTTCAATACCACTGATTCTCCTTTGGAACAGAACTGCTACAATTTGTTTTTTAGTTTGTTAAACCATAATTTGATAAAACCTCATTGCATTTTCCTCTGACATTCAGAGTACTACAATCCTAAATTTTATTGATCTTTGGAGTACGGGGAAAAGATTCCTTTCTTGAATTTTAAATTTTTACTTCGTAGTATCCAGATTTCATCACTTTATGACTGTACTTGAAATTACTCTTGGTTTTAAAAAATCCTTTCTTATTTTGCAGTATCATGGGATTATATGCCTCTGTTGTCCTGGTGATAGGAAAATTTGTCCGTGAGTTCTTTAGTGGAATTTCCCACTCCATAATGTTTGAAGAGCTTCCCAATGTGGATCGTATCCTGAAGTTGTGTACAGATATCTTCTTGGTTCGAGAGACTGGTGAACTGGAGCTGGAGGAAGACCTATATGCAAAATTAATATTCCTGTACCGCTCACCAGAGACTATGATCAAATGGACTAGAGAAAAAACAAATTGATCTCTTTGTGATTCTCCTTGCAAATCAAGATGACTTCATCTGATTTTCTTTTTTAAAAAAGCACAACATTCTCTTAAGAGCTAAGCCTTTTATAATTGGGTAGCAAAGAATTTTTAGTTCATGGAGCCTATCTGGTTGTTCCCCTCAAAATCCGTGCTGCCTTTCAAATCAAAGATGAGTTTTAAAAAACTTTGTTTTCAAATGCAACTTCTCTAACATCAGATCAACTTGCTTTTCACTTTGGTAACAAGATGTTTGACATCCTTGTCTGGCTAGAGTAACACCTTGGGCTTAACTTGTCCACTCAAGAAGGAAGGATATGACATGTGAATTAACTGGTCCTTTTGTTTTGTTTTGTTTTTTGAGTGATACATCTTGGATCATGAAATATCCTGCTTTTCATCACTGATGTTCAAGGGACACAAGGTGTTGGAGTTGCCCTTTTAGGGCATCCAAGACAACAGGACAGAGCAGGTGCTGAAGGAATCTATATTATGCACATTTCTTTTTTTCTATTTTTTTAAAAAAGAGGTTTCTTGTGTTGGACTATACAGAGATACCTACATAAGGAAAAAAAAATCAGTGACTGTCTGTAACTGCCTTGTTTTATTTGAACAATTACAGGAGACATTGAAACATCAATGACTTTACTCAGGAACAAAACTCAAGAGTCAACTAATGGATAATTAATTATGTGATACTCTGCAGGACCATTTTTCCAGAATAACTGCTCCAAAATTGGCAGACTTTTTTTAAAAAGGCAGTTGAATTTCATGAGAAGCCTTCTGATTTCTTAAAAAGATCTGAAGACTGAATAGGGTGGTCTTTGTCTCCACAGCCTGCTTTCCCCCCATTTTGACATTTTAATGCAATGATCTGGCTTCTATCTAATATTTCTTTCCAGGGTTTCAGGTATACAAAAATGTTTACATATTTGAATTCACATTTTTACATCCAAGACGGGTTTTTAAACTTCCCAGTCATGAGAAAAGTGTATATATAATGAGCTTGGAAAATTGCCTTTTCTTAAATTATTACTCTTGGTGACACAGGCTGCTCTGCAGAGGACACTGTAGCATGAAATTTTACTGTTGCAATGTAGTTTTCATTCCATGATTTAGAAACTGCAGTTTCTTAAGGATACCAAATCACTGAATGGCTAAGGTATGCTAAGGTGTTATACTGTGTAGTTTTGAATCCATAATGACTTCAAATAAAGCACATGATGCAAAGTCATTTTAGAAGTATTTTTTTCCCTATGCTTGTTTACACTGAATGGAATTTTTTTGTATAAATTAAATATGTTTATGTTGTGAGATTGTCAATTACCACTGAAAAAAGCCTTTTAATCTATTTATTATATGTGATGATATAGTAAGTCAATAGAATGTAGCTGACATGGCAACTGATCAGACAAAGTATAGTTACAGGCAGAGTTCGCTCCAGGATTTTGTTAAAACAGAACACCACAATAGAATGAGATGGTGACATACCTACACAGTTGATACGCTTCATGCTAGCACTGCTGATATCATTCCGTACTGTGAATATTAGCACTTTCAGACCTTGAGGAGATGCACATTGATATTGCAACAATAAAATGAGTTGCAACCGGAGCTCATTAACAATACTCAAATTCCGTAAAAAAAAACCTCTAATTGAAGTGGACTGGTGTTTATGCTACAAGAAGGAAATGTATTACTAAAAATCTAACTTCTTTGTAATAGCCACTGATTGAATCCTATGCAGAGCTTATATGTATTCAAGATGAAATGTCTTGTGTACAGTGGGCTGTACATAGAAATGTGATGGATCTACCACTATCGCTTGCATTTTAGGGCCCTTTGGCCCCACTGTTTACTTTTTGTTCTCTGACTCCCTTATGTACATCTGCCAGCTAAGCATAACACTTTGTGGATGTGATGAAGTAGGCTCCACTCCATGGCAGCTTTTGTTAATAATAAAGTTATTGTTCTTTACGTTTATTTCAGTTGATTTAAAAAGTCCCCAAGGTTTGTTTAGAACATGAAGCTCTGTTGTTTTTGCTATGGAAGATTAATGTGAAGCTATGGAAGATTAATGTGAAGTAAGACGGAACAAGTGGAGGTGCTGACCAGGAGTGGACTCGGAAGTGAAAACAGCCCCGGAGCAAGTTGAGCTGAGCAGCCTCTGCTGTGCTACAAGCCAGCACTGCAGGGCCATTCATTTGGGGAGAGGGGTGCAATGGGCATTAGTTCACCCACTGCATCGTCCCCCAAACTGGAAGCAGTGCAAGGGGAGACAGTCAGTGAGCTGACACAGACAGCCATGGCTGATGAGGGGTCTCGGCTGTGCTTGCTCCTGGCCACCTGTAGGGCCAAACTACACATTACAGTGATCATGAGTTCCACTTGTGGCCCCTGACACCACTTTATGGAAGAATTTGACCATTTAAAAATGCTGCAAAGGCCTGATCCTGACCAGGCCCATGGCATGAGAGGGGCAGGTGATCTTGTTCCCCCTACTCCTTTTCAAGTGCCAAAACGGTCCCCGTGGCTATTTTGGTACTTAAAAAGTCACAAGTGGGAAACAGTGGCCACCTACAAGCTTCTGAGAAGCCTGCCAGCAGAACACATAAGCAACAAATTTCACTGCTGTTTACCCTCAGCTATTGGAGGGTCAGTTTAGCTTTTGTGGCACGTGACTACTGGTAAATCACTCCTCCTTTTAAAGCCATTTTAAATCAAGTGGCAGGCGCATCTTTTAATGGCAGACTCCTTGATATAATTGTGCATTCTTTGTCTTTCCCAAATCTACTACAATGGGTTGCCCTGTACTTTGTGTTGTGCAAGAAATTATTTCCATCCACTTTCACCAAACCATAGATAATAGTATAAGTTTCCTAAAAGCCCCAGTTGCTCTATTCTTTCCTCACAAGGCAGGAGCTTCAAGTCCTTGATCACTTTGGGGGGCTTGTGTTTGTGCTACAGAGGGCTTGCTAGCAATCTACAAGGTTAATATGATAACTTTGATGACTGTCAGTTATTACTCCATCATTGTCACGATATACGTGTCATCTTTGGGGTTAGAGCCAGTGTCGTGGTTTCCATGGGTGCATTGACTTCTGCCCACAGAGCAGTACTTTCTCAGTTCCACCCTCCTACAGCAGGCTGAGATGCTGCCTAATCTTGTTCCTGGGAGTTCCCTCTTCTCCAGGAACAGGCCCCCAAAGGAGGGGGAAGCCTAGAAATTTGTACTGTATGGGTGGAGGTCCTTGTGTCCATGGAAACACTGCATTAGATCCAACCCCTGGCGGTTAATCAATCACTTCCTAGGAAATATTTTTAAATGGGCTGATAGCAAGAAATCAGGGTTATCTTACCCCCCAGAAACATCACCTGCTAGTGAGCATCCTGTTGTGTATGTCCTGTTCCTTCAATATGCTGTGTACTACAGGACAGATTTTTGGCTCAGTGAGTGACACGACTTTTAATTCTGCCTATCTAGTGCTGCCTCTTTCTGGTAAAACTTACAGGGCTGCAGGTAGTATGGCTTGAGTTCCACGCAATCCCTCAAAGCAGGTTGAATTCAAGAATTAAATCACATTTCTTATACTAAAATTGTGCTTTTTGATTCTCTCTCACACATGTATGTTGTTTATAAAACATACTTTTTTGAGTAATATATGTGTCCTTTTTTAACAAAAGAAGAACCAGGAATGGGTCTTGATTTGTATAATGCCAGGTCTTGGGCCATGTAGAAAGTACCACAGAGTGTGTACAGAACGCCTGTCACAACTGAGTAACTGCACTGTCCCCTCATACTTAGGATTAAGCAGGGGTCATTTCCTGCAGGAGCGCACAGGAGCGGAGCTCTGGCAGTAAAGAGCCCAGGGGGCGGGCACATGCAACAAGCCCCGCCCCCTGCTCCCAGCAGCCCTCAGTCAGAGCAAGAAGCAGCTAGGTAAGCTGCAGAGCCCCCCCCCCTTACCCCCGTTCTAAAACAGTCCAGGGCTACTTTAACACACCGCTACGTTCCCCCCCCCCAATAGCTAGCAATCCAAAACAGTCCAGTGGAGCCTGAGCAGTGGGTGTTGCCTTCTGACACTTCCGATGATGTCAGGGTGTGTGGCATATGCAGATAGGTTATGCTAATGAGTTATGCTAATGAGCTCCTGCACCTATTTTTCTGCGAAATGACCCCTGGGATTAAGCAACATGACGGCCAGAACAGAAGACATGACAGCTTGACAAGCTTGAGCCCAAGTGACTTAACATTCAGCACTACCAAAGGAGGGAAGTATTGTTTTGTATAGAGTCAGAATTTGCAGAGGTTTTGCAGCTGCATCATGGTGAATTTTAATTCTCTACAGGTCATTGGGAGGAAGCATGGAAAGAGAATGGGACATGCTCTGGCTGCCTGCTACCCTTGACCCTCAGCAGGAGGTGTCACTGTCACCCCGACATTCCTGTGGACCCAAGTACACAAAGATTGTACTTGTTTTTTCCCCGGGCTTAATCTATCAAAAGAGAATGTTGCAACAGGTGGCTTTTTTGTGAGAGAAGGAACAAGTTGGTGTTCCACTTAATGCTTGTTGTTGACCCATCCACATGCAATTTCAATTTATTTCCATGTAGATAAAATTGTAAATACATACAAAAGCTATAGTTGTACTACCCAAGCCAAGCTTGGAAGAATTCAGTTTTGTTGTCCCAGGTGGCAGCATGAAAAAGCAGTGATGATGTGATTGACAGTTAAAATATGTTAAGAGCCTGATACCCCTTGTATCATGTAATGATTATAGGAAATGGACTATTTCTTGATTAAAGTTACTTTTAATATCTCTGTGTTGCTGTTCTGTGCAGGTGCACATGTTTCATGCTGCAGAAGTGATTCTGTGTGCTGTTGTCATGAGGATGAACAGAGTTTTTTTTACAAGTATGCTGCTATTGCTGACTTTTAAAAAGTGTGAATCAAAAAAACGTGGCAAAACAAGAAAATGTGGCATTCAGCTTTAATATGTTGTTGGCTTTTTCTTTTGAATAGAAATATAATAATAAAACTGGATGCTTCTGGAGCCCAGCAAAATATATAAAGAGTATGATGTTCATAAATACGGTAATATCCCTGTTCACACATTACAGTGAATGCATGTACCTCCTGTGTGTATGTGCATACATGTGTTTACAAGAGCCAATTCATGGTTGCTTTACAAATTAAACC